GCCTTGGTCACTTTCTGGGATAGAGCCCACACAAACTCCCTGGGAAACAGCTTCCAGCATGTGGCTGTGGTTGGAAATGTATTTCTCTATATGTACACCAACCCCCTTGTTTCAGCCCATTGCCTCTTGTCCTTGTGTCTTGTACCATGGACATGAGCCTGACTCAGTCTTCCTGGGAACACTGCAATGCTGCTACATGTTTCGCCCAAGATCTTCCTTTCTCCAGGCTGGACAAGCCCAGCTCCCTCAGCCTCTCCTCACAGGTAAAGCGTTCCTGCCATGGACCATTATGGGGGCCCTTTGCTAAAGTGGCTCCAGCTTGCTAACATCTTTCCTATATTGGGATCTGAAATCTGGACACACTGTTTTCTATAGTCCCTTCCCTCAATCACCTGGCTGTGCTCCTGTTCGTATAGCCCAGGGTGCTCCTGTCCTTCCTTGCTTCCAAGGCACACGGCTGCATCCTGTCCATCCCGCTGTCCACCAAGACCTTTCCCAAAGTCCTCCTTCCAGCCAGGCAGCCCCCCACCTGTGCCACTGCCAGGGTTAGTCCCCTGCAGGGACAGAACCTGGCATCTGTCCTTGTGGGATTTCCTGACTTTCATGCCAATGCATGCTCTCCTCTTCCTTGAAGCCTTTCCCTGAGCACAGGGGCCTGGAGACCATTTCAGGAAAGACTCAGGCACAGCAGGCATTCATTCCTTCAGCCCCAGCTGTGCCTGCTGTTATTAAATCACCCTCCCCATTCAGCAGCAGCCCTTGTTCAGCCTTGGTCTCTCAGAAGTGACCAAAGGTCTTCTGTTTGCTTTTGACTTCCTTTGCCACCAGCATCTCCAAGTGAATTTTTTTTTCCTACACTCATGCCTCCACAACAAATGCAATATAAGGAAATTCCTGCTTTGTACCTGTCCTTGCTGACACCTCCTGGCAGCTGCGTCATGGCACCTGTCCTTTTCCTGGCCCAGCCCCACCGCCCATACACGGTCCCACAGCCCCACTCTGCAGGCACAGCACAGGAAAGGGTACAGTCATAGATGGGGAAAGTTCCCCCCATTGTGATCCCAATGGCAGCCTTCAGATCACAGTTCCCCCACAACACTCCTACTTTTGCAGCTTCCCCAGCACCCGACCCCTGCCCTGCCACAGCCTTGACCCATGTGGAGCTTTGCAGACAGCTCTGCTCCAGGGTCTGCCAGGGTCTGGGGAAGGAGCGAGGCTGGGCAGGACTGTCTGTTCCCCAAAACCAGCCCTTGGCCCAGGAGGAAGGTGGAGGTGGCCTCCCAGCAAATCTCACCCTTAAATATGGGGTGACCAGCAAGTGCTGAAAATGGCTAATGAGAGATGCTGGGGGTGACAAAGACACTGAGCCACATTGCGCGTCTGTCCATGGCACCGGGGGAACAAACCGGCCTCCTCCTTTCCTCTGTACCTGCATGTCTTCACTGTTTTCCACAAGCCCCGTCACTGCACCACGAACCCCTGGTGTCAGTCCTTGCCCTGCATGGCCACACATTGCAACCTCTACACAGATATTTTTCTCTCCTGGCACTTTCCAGCCCAGCCCAGCTCCCCCTAAACTATTCCCACCTCCCCTGCCCTCTCCCCAGTGCAGCCCAGTCTGGCATGGCCCCACAGCAGTGCCCACCACAGGCTGCGGCAGAGCTCT